AAGAAAAGAAAAGAAAAGAAAAGAAAAGAAAAGAAAAGAAAAGAAAACAGAAGTATGGCTGTCTAAAGTACTAGCGTTCGTTGGCAAATTATACCCGCGGGAGGATGCCATGTGCACCGCCAGACGAACAACATCAACCAAAAAGGCAAAAGCAGTTCAGAAAGAGCCTCAGGAGGGCCTAAACAAGGCCAAGAGACAAACAGCGCGGGAAGCCAAGGGTCCCCTCCACTTGCTAGAGCCATGGTCAAGACAGATTGTAAACAGACCAACTGACCCTCAAAATCGTGATGAATTAAAATGCCCACCATGAAGCTCTCCGTCGGGGTTTACCTCAAGCACTTGAAAATGACGGTGGGGACAGATCCACAGATCACGGCACCAAGCAACATAATCCAGTCGGATCCTACATGACTACACGGATCGTATTAGACCGAGTAAAGCAAGGTGACATTAGCATAAAAGCTTTGTTTTAAAGGTATGACATCCTTGCCAATCTGTCAGCCCTAGCGACTGGATTCTTTACCATATTCTTAAAAGGAACAGTTTTAAACTCCCCTCCCACCCCCCCTTTAACCTCATCCCTCACCCTCGTTTCAAATCAATCCTGGATAGTCAGAAGAATGTTATCTTTCATTTGTTTCCAGCTAGGTTGATACAGTGACTATAAATTAAATCGTGTTCCAGGTCGCAACGGTTTTAAATAGGAAAGGTATATAGAGTTTAAAAAATGAATACAAATGCTATTTGTACCTTTCTTTTGTTTCAGGCGTTTTATGCTATTGACTTTCAATCTGATGTACACTGTGAATAAGTTGAGATGCCCTTCAAAATATTTACCAATGTCATTGCTACAGGATGTAGATTATAACGTCCTAACACACAGCTGAGATAACTGGTATATTATGGCATAAGGAACCTTGCAGAAAACACTTTGCTGGGGGCGCCTGGGTGGCTCAGTCGGTTAAGCATCCAACTTAGGCTCAGGTCATGACCTCACGGTTTATGGGTTCGTGCCCCACATCGGGCTCTGTGCCGACAGCTCAGAGCCTGGAGCCTGCTTCGGATTCTGTGTCTCCCTCCCTCCCTCTCTTCCCCTCCCCCACTCACGCTCTCTCTTTCAAAAGTAAATAAACATTTAAAAAAAAATTACCAAAAAAACTCCCACCTTGTTGGGTAATAAAAACAAAGTTCTACTTTGTTCCTTAATTAGGAAAATTCTAGAATGGAAACTCAAAGTATATAGGACTTTATAGCACAACCTAATACATAGTTCAAGTGAGTCCTGCTACCACTCATGTTAGATTTACGATTTACTCTTATGAGAGTATTTTTATTTACCCAGACTTAAGATCGGCTTCTGCTGACTTGCTGGAGTCTGTAGAAGCAGTAAAGCTATTCCAATTATGACCAGTTCAACAGGAAAATCCTAAAAGAAAAACAAGAGTGGAATTAAAGAAGTTCCCAGAGCCATGCTTTATTAACACGTATCCAGGAAGAGTACATAAAACGTGAGAGATCTTAAACCTATTGTACAACGTTATTTTTTTTTTAATTTTGTATTTTTTTTTATTTTATTTTTTTTTCAATATATATACGTGAATTCAAAACATTATCGCACCTGGCTGAAGAGCCTAGGCTATACCCCAAATCACTTTAAAGCAGAAAACTCTGTAACACAACAGACTGACAAGTCTTCAAAACCAATTTTTCAAACCACTGAAAACCTATGTGAAATACTACGAGATACTTCATTTCTGCAAAGTAGCTCAACTAATCCAGACTATACAACTTAGGTAAAGAACTACACTTACCAAGTTTTAGTAACTCGTGGTATTTTTATAAAAGAAACAATAGTACCCAGGGAGGCAGAAATTATTTTTACATGACAGTAATCTATTAAGCACATTTAAATGTAGCAAAGCAATAACCATAGAAACTGAAAAATATTTTCATCAAGTATGTAAATGAAATGAAAAAGAAGAATGTGAACATCAAGTTCTAATAAATAGATTGCAAAAAACATAAGATATTATTTGAGCTTTCTAAATAAAGAAAACACTAACGTATTCTGGAACTAAAGAAGAAAGGTCCAGGCTTTTGCTTAAATTTTCCTGAAGTTACTTCATTTCTGAAATTTTACAGAAACACCTGCCGAGCAGAAGAGTCTAGGAACTGTGAAGACAGGCAAGGGAAAAAAAAAAAAAAAAGGAAAGGAAAAAAAAAAGGAAACAAGAGCTAGAACCAAGTGTTAAGAAAACACTTGGAGAAAACAAATTAGTCTGACAAATTCAAAGTTATAATCTTGGAAATACGCTCAACTCCGGCACCGTATATAATAAATAAACATCCACATCTCTGTTATACCATTTAAAAAGTGAAAATAAACGGCACACTCTTCCAAAGTGCTTATTTATGGACTTCTCAAAACCAGCAAAGAAAGAAAAATTGTGAATTGTTTTAAAGGAGTATTTTCTAATGTGTGTCTTTGGGCCTATACCTGCTCACTGTTTTGAAATACGGTTGAGAACAATGAAGCAATGGCTATCTACTTGAGGACAATCAGTGCATTTTGAACCCAATATGCTTACTGTATATACTGTCATACTATTCTTTGCCATTATCTTTTCGTCAGTTTCATTTCAAATTCTGCACGTCCACTTATTTTTTATTTTTTTATTTTTAGAGAGCATGCACAAGCAGGGGAAAGGTGCAGAGAGAGAGAGAGAGAGAGAGGAGAATCTTAAGCAGGCTCCATCCACACCCAGTGCAGAGCCTGACATGGAGCCTGATCCCAAGAACCTGGGATGATCACCTGAGCTGAAATCAAGAGTCGGATGCCCAAGCAAGTGAACCACCCAGGTGCCCCTCCGTGCCCAGTTTAAAAAAGAAAAAGCAGGGGCTCCTGGGTGGCTCAGTCAGTTGAGCGTCCGACTTTGGCTCAGGTCATGATCTCACAGTTTGTGGGTTCGAGCCCCACGTCAGGCTCTGTGCTGACAGCTCAGGGCCTGGACCCTGCTTTGGATTCTGTGTCTCCCTCTCTCTCTTCCCCACCTCTACTCTCACTTTGTCTCGCTCTATCTCTCAAAAATCAATAAATGTGAAAAAAAAAAAACATTTGACAAAACTCAACAATCATTTATCATAAAAAAAAAACCTTCAACAAAGTGAGTAGAGAGGGAACATACTCTAAAATAATCAAGGATATATATGACAAACCCACATCTCACATCATACTCAATGGTGAAAGTTAAAAGCTTTCCTTTTAAGACCAGGAACAAGACAAGGATGCCCACTCTCACCCCATTATTCAACGTAGTATGGGAAATCCTAGCCACAGCAATGAGGCAAGCAAAAGAGATAAAAGACATCCAAATTAGAAAGAAAACTGTCACATTTGCCGAGGACATATACTACATACAGAAAACCCCAAAGCCTCCACTGAAAAACTATTAAAATAAATGAATTCAGTAAAGTTGTGGGATACAAAAATCAACATACAGAAATCTGTTGCATTTCTATACACTAATACTAAACTATCAGAAAGAGAAATTAAGAAAACAATCCCATATACAACTGTTATCAAAAAAGAAAAAAATACACAGGAATAAATTTAACCAAGGAAGTAAAAGACCTGTACTCTGACAACAATAAGGGACTAATGAAAGAAACTGAAAAGGACGCAAATAAATGGAAAGATATTCATTCCATGTTCATGGGCTAGAAGAATTATTGTTACAACGTTCATACTTCCCAGAACAATCTAAAGATTCAAAACAATCCCTATCAAAATACCAATAGAATTTTTCACCAAACCAGAACAAGTAATCCTAAAATTTGTGTGGAACCACAGAAGGACCTCAAACAGCCAAGGAAATGTCGCAAAAGAACAACAAAGCTGGAGGTATCACACTCCCAGGTTCCAAATTATACTGCAAGTTTACAGTAATCAAAACAGTATGGTACTTACACAAAAACAGACACACAGATCAATGGAACAGAACAGGGAGCCTGGAAATAAACCGACACTCCTATGGATGATTAATCTTCGACAAAAAAGGCAAGAATATACAATGGGGAAAGGACAGTCTCTCAAATGGTGCTGGGAAAAACTACACAGCTACCCGCAAAAGAATGAAACTGGACCACTGTCTTACACCATACACTAAAAAACTAAAAATGGATTCAAGCCTTACTATAACACTTAAAATGATAAAATTCCTGGAAGAAAACATAGGCAGTAAGCAATCAGAAGTTGGTCTTAGCAGTATTGTTTTGGGTGTTTCCTGAGGCAAGGACAACAAAAGCTAAAAACAAGCCGATGAGACTGCATCAAAATAAAAAGCCTTTGCACAGCAAAGGAAAGGAAATCATTGACAAAATGAAAAAGCAATCTACGGGACGGGAGATCATTCGCTAATGATCTATCTGATGAGGGGTTAACATCCAAAATGTGACAAGAACTGTGTTTTTACATATTTTCTATATCTTACCTAGAAATATTATGTGTCATAAACAGCAGATGTTATATATCTAATAGGTATGGTTATATATATTTATACATCTAAATAGGGCTTTGATCTATAATGATTATCCTGTTATATACAACATACAGTAGAGATAACAGATTTTATGTAATAGAGATAAAATATTGATCTTTATAAAATAGAGATATTCTATTACTATAGAATATATACCACATATTACTATTACACATATCAACATATATTATAGAACACAAACACATCGTTGACAAATTGACAAATTTGCCTTCCTTGGCTCCCACTTCCTTCTAAAATCTACATCCCCTTTCTGTTTCCTACCTATCACTTACTCCTTTATTCTAATTTGGTTCCATCACTCCAAACTGCTTCCTCTAATGCAAACAATAAACTTCTACTCACTGCATCCTAACAGTACTTTCCATACCTTATTTTAAATACTCTCAGCATGACAATGTTGGCCATTCACCTTTTCGAAATAGGAGCTATTCCTTCCCTTGATTTTCAGGTCCTCAGTCTCTTCTGTTTAACATGTAATCCTTCTAGCCATCCGCTCTCCCCATTTTCAGTACACTCTAGCCCCTGGAGTTCCATGAAAACCCACGCAATGCAATCCCATGGCTAAAACTCCCACCCCGAAGTAGATGTCTACAAAGCTACACCTTTCGCTTAAAAGCTTCTATCCTGAATTTCAAAACCACATACCCAACTATCTATGATTCACATATACCTCACACCAAGTCTCCCTAAAACCAAGATTTGTCATCTTCCCTCCAACATCTGCTGCCATCCCTCCAAGTGAATGGCGCCATCCAGATGCCCAAAAGAGAAAGCTGAGACTCTTGTCAAGGAACTTCTCCTTCGCCATCTAATCAGTCACAAAGCCCTACTGACTTCATCTCCCACATCTCTCTTTTCCTACTCTCTGCTCTCCATCTTCTACTCTTTCCTACTCTCTTCTCCTAATCAGCCCCTTGCTATGGACAGAAACGTTGCCCCGCCACACAAATAAATATGCTGAAGTCCTAACTACCAATGCGACTACATTTGGAGTGCAGAATTAAAGTTAAATGAGGTCATAAGGGTGGGGCCCTCATCCAGTAAGAATAGTGTTCTTTTAACAAGAAGGAATGGCTCACTCTTGCTCTCTCCCCACCCTGTGAGAACGCAGCAAGGAGGCAGCTATCTACACGCCAGGAAGAGATTCCTCACCAGAATCCAGTCAGCCAGCACCCTGGCCTGGGACTTCCTGGTCTCCAGAAGCGTGAACAACGAATTTGTGTTGTTCAAGCCACCCATCCCGTGGTAGTCTGTTACAGCCACTCCAACGGTCTAAGATGTGGCTCCTCACTGCCTGCCCCAGTAGTGTTGCCCTGCTCTAAAAACCTCCTCCACTGTCCCACCACAATGATCTTCCACACCCAAAAACAGGAGGGCACCTCCATGCAGAAAGGTTGCAATAGCACGCCTCGCTTAGAAGATAAAGTGTAAATTCATTCGTGTGGCACAGAAGACCTTTCGTGGTAGGCCCAGCCTCCTCCCCTACATCTTGATCGGTCAACAGTACCTTGTTGACACCTTGTTTTCTGAAAAGGTCACGCCTGCCCAGCTTGCTCATGGTTCTGTGTTTGGGCACATGCTGTTCCACAGCTGGAATGCCTCCCCAACACCTGGTTTGTATCAGGCAAACCCCTCTTCAGACTTCCTCAAATCTGAACTCAAGGCCCTGCTTCCCTTAATTTGTACTCCCACTGCACTTTCCAGATCCTCCCAGAAAAGCATTTAATTTACTGTCCTCCAATTATTTGCGTTATTTTTTTTCACGTTTGTAAGTCTCTTGGGGTCACAGACTGTACCTTCTCTTGTATGTATTCTACAGGGTCGAGCATATAATGGGTGCTCAGTACTTGTGTTGTATGTGAATAAATGAAAAACAAAATGCTACAGGGGTAGACCCTTAACTGGTGCTCCAAATTTAGTGACTTGTTTTTATAACAGACGACAGCAGTAGCACATTAATAGTATGATCTAATGGTATTTGATCAAAACACCTTTGATATGCAATGAAGTAAAAGAATACACTCACCCTGCTTTGAAAGGCCCACTTAAGGGACAACAGGGATATTAAAATTTCGTACTATCCTTACCTCCTTCAGAAGTTCAACGCTGTGTTCTAAAAGGTGAATTAACGAGGAGCATTCCCCAGTTATCTTTAAGCTGACTTCACAGACACACAAGAGCTGAAGGGTCAGCTGGCTAAGCTGAATTTTCCAGAAAATGGGATGACGCAGAAGGCTTAAATATACTTCTTCAATAAACGTCATCACTTCTGTTGTCTGGACCAAATCTTTTACCTGTTTAAAAAACAAATTAATTGTAGGATATTAAAACAATATACAAAACCAAAGGGTAATTGTAAACTACACAGGAAGCCTTAACAATATTCTTCTCCAAATGTATGAAGACTTCCAAGAAATGAAGAAATGTACAAAATTCAAAGAGGATTAAACCATGGATCAACTCCGCCTTTTTCTGTCACTAGCCAAAATACAATTTGCTACTGTTTTCATTGCTGCTGGCTGGTCCAACTTCTTTTCTTTTCCTAACTTCTCTGAGTGCAGATTTTTTTTTTTTTTAAGACAAATTACATGACACTGCCAACATGTTGAAGGAAATTAATTAAAGCTGGTTTTGAGTTCTCCAAATGAACTCTCCTTTCTACAATTCCAACGTAGTTACCTGGAAGAAATGGGTTGGCATGTTAGTCTATGTACTACTAAGCCCTTCACCTGGAGGTTATTTGCTCAGACCACCTTAACTGAGGGCATCATTTCCACACTTGGCAGATGCAATGGAAGACCATGTTCAAAGGGTAGGATGTCTACTCAACAGGCTAATGTATTAGATAGGAAGGACTTGGGTGCTCTTGAAAATCCCAATTCAGTTCAAACCCAGCTGTTCCGATCAAAATTCTGGAGTTGGTATTAAGGATATGGTCCTACTCACAGACACATTGGCATTTCCCAGAGATTCCAAACAATGAACCATCTGCTTCAATCCGAAGCCTCATGTCTGTTAAATTCATCAAGAGGAAAGCCTACAGCTGACCAGCTGTACCTTTCACCAGTTGTTACCACCATAATAACCCAAAATGACTTTAAGTTATACCAAGAGAAAAATCAATGGCTAGCAAACAAAAGAAAAAAGATATTAAAAGATCAAGGGAGATAGAAAATACTAAGTTATAAAAAATAAATGTGAACAGTCCAACAGCTAAATTATTTTGCTCTTTTGCAAATATACAATGAGAAAGGAAAAAGGCCACCAAGAAAATGGATTTAAAATAAAGCCTCAAGTTTATTGGACAATGTATTTCCTTGAGTGTATTTTTTTGTGCATACTTGAAATTTTCCATAATAAAAAAATCGGGGGACAACCTCAGCAAGTTAGCATCAAAGGCTCTCTAACCTGTAACATCACCAAAATTTGTAACAATATTTATGAAGTAATGTTCTTTCTTGATGTAGCAATAGGTCATGTACGATAGACAACATGTGCGATGACAAGAGTCACAATTAAAAAGAATGAATCAAAGTCTTGGACAAAGTCAACAGTGATGTTTAAGGCAGGTAAATCCAAAAAAAAAAAAAAAAAAAAAAAAAAGACAATTCCACAAATACAACATGGAAGAACAATTGGTGTAAAAAGAAAACAGGATTTCCTTGACTATGATTTCAGCCATCAGTGGCATGGCTTTCTCTAAAATAATTTTTCTTTTAATTAATGAGATACTACTCAAGTGCACAGTATGGGTCACACCACAAGTACAGGAGTATATTCAGCTCTAAAAAGAACATTTCATAGTGATACATTCTGAGCCGTGATAAGCTAAAGAATTCCTGGCAACGGACAGGGAAAAGTCTGGAAACATTGGCAAAGAAAGTGATGAAGGAAAGAAAGGAGGGGAGGATGGAAAGGAAGAAAGGGAAAGAAAAGAGAAATAGACAACATAAAACAGGATGTAGATGGGCTCTTTTTAAAGCCTACTTTGTTCTGTTCTACGAAGAAGGGAGACTAACGGGTAAAATCTTAGGAAAATGCAGGTCAATTAGAAGTACTTGAAGAAAAAGGGTTGCCTTGCAAAATCGCATGCTTCTGATCACTAAAATATTTCATTAGTCATGGGATGGTTATCTCAGAGAACTGAAGAAACACCTGGGAAAACGCCTCAGTGGGAAAACGCAGGACATCGCCACTAAGATCCCTCCAGATGTGGAGATTCTTCATATTCTAAGAAAGCCGATTTGTAACATGATTAAATGTATTTATGTCGCTAGCTCCATTAGTTCAAAATGATGTATCCCTTTTTTGTTCACCTGTCATGACTCTATTAAACAAGCCACAGACTGCCAGAAATGTTCCACAGAGCTCACTGCTAGAAGTTATTTAGGCTTGTCAATAATCGGTTCATAAGGATGAATGCAAACATTCATCAAAGAACCCCGAACAGTTTCAGGCAAGCATGCGGTGGCAAAGTGCACCCCGGTTCAAGATGTTCTGCCTACACACTGCTTTATTGCCCACACAAAACAAAAGCTTTGGAAAAAGCCACAGGAGAATTCGTTTTAATTAACGTTTCTCTGCCTTGATTACAGCAAAGCCTATTTATGAGTCGCAAAGGAAAGATTCACTCGAGTCACTCTTTGGGAGCACAAACTTAAAACCGGTCATCTGTGACCTCAAGTGATCGCTCTGAAAAATATTCACAGATTCCCTCCATCAGCTAAGCAACATGGGGCTCAGAGTCTAGGCAAAAGACAAACCTCGATGATAACATGGGATGGCCTGATAAATTAACTCACAACGCTAATATCTCAACACACGGGCAACTGGTATTTTTTTTTTTTTTTTTTGATCTGTGGTTATAGGGGCGCCTGGGTGGCTCAGTCAGTTAAGCATCTGGCTTAGCATCTCATTTCTTCAGCTCAGGTCATGATTTCATGGTTGTGAGATCAAGCCCCACATCTCACTCTTCACGGAGTGTGGAGCCTGCTGAAGATTCTCCCTTTCTCGGGGCGCCTGGGTGGCTGAGGAAGTTCAGCATCCGACTTTGGGCCAAGTCATGATCTCACGGGTCACAAGTTCAAGCTCCCTGTCAGGCTTTGTGCTGACAGCGCAGAGCCTGGAGCCTGCTTCGGATTCTGGGTCTCCCTCTGTCACTGGTCCTCTGCTCATGCTCTGCCTTTCTCTCGAAAATAAAAATAAACATTAACCAAAAAGGTTTTTTTAATGTTTTTTTTCAAGATCCTCTCTTCCTCTCCCTATGCCCCTCTCCCGCTCCTGCTTGCTCGCTCTCAAAAAAAGAAAAAAATTAAAAATTTTTTAAGAATTAAAAGATTTTTCCAATCTGCAGTTACAGAGACATTAGCTCATATTTCTCCCTTGAACTTCCTAGGCATTGGATCCATACCTGTTAGACATCTTTTTTTTTTTAATTTTTTTTTTTTAACTTTTTTCTATTCAGTTTTTGAGAGATGGAGAGAGACAGAGCATGAGTGGGGGAGGGGCAGAGAGAGAGGGAGACACAGAATCCGAAGCAGGCTCCAGGCTCCGAGCTGTCAGCTCAGAACCTGACGCGGGGCTCGAACTTATGAACCGTGACATCATGACCTGAGCTGAAGTCAGACGCCTAACCGACTGAGCCACCCAGGCGCCCCTAGACATCTTTTATCCATCTACTTCGAAATAAGAAAATATATATACTTGTCTTAACTCCCTTACTAGACTGTGGGCTTCTCATGAGCAGAGCAAGAAGCATCAGGGTCACCGCGTATGTCGTAGGGAGACGCGTGGAAACTGGAATCTAGCCAGCACTCAGCTGGTCAAGCCCTGCATCCTCAAGGCTGTATCTTCCCCAAGACAAACCTTTTTTCTAACTTGTACAGAGGTCTTTTTTTTTTCCTTGTAACTTTTTTAGTGTCTAGCACAAGGAGAAACTCAACTCAAAACTCTCTTCCCCTGGGAAGTCTTTCTTAAACAAAAAGTGTTCATTCTTACTAATCCTAAAATGGATTATGTTGATTTATATCTTTTTTTTACTTGATTTTATTTATTTTAATGTTTATTTATTTTTGAGGGGGGGAGGGGTGCAGTACGAGCACGGAAGGGGCAGAGAGAGAGGAAAACACAGAATCCGAAGCAGGCTCCAGCCTCTGAGCTATAGCACAGAGCCCAACACGGGGCTTGAACTCATGAACCATGAGATTGTGACCTGAGCCGAAGTCAGATACTTAATGGTATGAGGTACCCAGGAGCCCCTAAACTTTATTTTTAATGCTTATTTTTGAAAGAGAGAGAGAAAGAGAGAGAGTGAAAGAGAGAGAGAGTGAAAGAGAGAGAGAG